TCTCTGACTTTTGATGCAGAGTCCACTGTGAAGAAATTTAAAAATGTACTTACATAAGCTGTTTCAAGATTGTAATCACGCAGCTGATGTCATCACTTATGTCGTCATCAATCAAGTCTGGAAAGAAAACATGTTTTCTGGTTCATGGGAAAATGCAAGTAGAGAATGTGAAAAATGGATGCTTCTCCCGAGGAGAGAAGAAGAAATGAAGAGTGATTGTCTGAACTGTCACACAAACACATTCCACACAGACATGATTGGAGCATAGGTTTCTAGATGGGTACAGCTAATGTCTCTAGAGTCAGTACACTGGCCATTTGCAGCAAATTAACAATTAAATTTAAGCAAATAATGTCAGGCAAAAGTTTACTGAGCATTCAGTCAGCACAAACCTTTACAGTGACAATAGTGATGGTGATATAAGCACTAACTGAGATTAGAACTCACTGTTGCAGTCCATCCCACAGATGTTGGGTGATGGAGTCATGTCGCTGCTGCAGACCAGGTGACTGCTGAGCTGGAAAAGACCATAGAGCGTCCAGACCTCCTCATCCGGTTGTGGAGGGCGGGTGGACGGTCTGGCACTGGTGGGTGGTGTAGGCCAGGTGTTTGATGGAGGATGTCTGACATCCCGTCGCTCCCTGTTGTGGGGCCGAATTGTGATTAAAGGGCCTTGAGGCTCGGCCAGGCCAAACAAGCCCTCATAGCCTGCTTCCCTCTTCTCCCTACTGTGATGGGCTTCCATCCCGGGAATCAGCTGATCCACTTCACTGGTGTTAAAATCCGACGCCAGCTCGACATGGCAGACAACTGAAGGAAGGGAATAGAAGGGAGCAACTAACTGACAACCAGCAATTTCATTCAAATGTCACACTTTTTCAGCCAGACGTCCACACATTACGTGAGCTTTATTCCAGTGGCACCCTCACCATTTAATCTTTACCAAACTGTATCTGTATGAATTGATCCTACTGCACTACAAAACTACAAGTTTTATATAGATTATTCTTTTGTGCCATAGAGCTCCTTTGTTATCCAAAATCAAGTCTATAGCCTTTGTGAGGCCATACTGGTTTTGTAGGTATCTGATCATAAACAAAAGTATTGGAGAGTTGTATCGTAGTATCGCCAATACTTTAGTAGTAAAGCATTGGCTTGCTGGTGGTGCCAAAAGAAAAGTTGTTAAAATTCCTCCTAAGGGAACATTAATTTTTGTACAAAATTTCAATGCAATCCGTTCTATAATGGCTACGCAAATGTCAACATCATGATGGTGGCAGGAGAAAAGTCAGAGGGTCACTGAAGTTAGCACGATTCATCCATCAATTCAATAGCTGTTTAGGAATTTACGTCTGGATCAAAGTCGTGGACCAACAATGTTACCCATAAAGCCATGCAGCTAGTAATATCAGTTTATTGTGAGTCAATACCAGATACATGTACACATAAATTCTCACTAAAGCACCAAATAAGTAAAATATAGGATAACGCCAACATTGTCCTTTGAGCCAGGAAATGAGAAAGAAATCTCTTTGTATTAACATACTATCATTTGTTAGACTTAAGCATCCTCAAAGACAAAAAAAGAGTACTGAGCTTCAACTTGCTTATCCATTATTTTCTGCTATTTGTTTTCTCAATTTGTTTTGTATTTTTCAGATTTGGGTTTTTCGGCCAAATAATTCATGCAGAAAATGTTTGGCTTCTGCACATTTTAAGATTGCAAATGTTCTTGTGTAACTTGATGTCTTCAGGTTCCAATGTTTAAGGCTTTTCCTTTTTATTCAAAAGGCAGTACATGTAGGCCCTACAGATTAAAAACATGACATTCCAATTTTTACCATTGAGACGAAAGGGAATTAAAGAACAACAACAAGTAGTTATACCTTATTCTCATATGGGAGAGTCGGAACGAATGAAACAAGTCTGATACGCCAAACTATGTCAGCACATACTGTACGCACTACTTACCAAAAGCTTAAGAAATTGGGTGGACATGCCACGTAAAGTACCCTTCTCACTCCCGAGTCGTCACATATGGACATAGTCAAGACCCCTTGGCGTCATTCTGTAACGCAGTGGGGAGCCCCTTAGCATCATAGTTCACGTCTGAGTAAGGATGCGGTTGGGGTGGATGGGTGGACTTTCCCCCAGGACACTGGTGTTCATTTCCCATGTGATAAAAAAGATAACATTGTTTTTAGTTAAGCTACGTAATTTATGTAAGTAACATGACTAACGTTGGTTAAGTCACGTAAGTAAGATAATTATTTTAACCTACACCCAACGAAGTAGCTCAGCTTTGGCCAGATTTATACCAAAGCCAGATTTGTACAAAATAGCACCTGGTACTGATAGAACAGACATGAGTTGTTAATCACAACAAAAAAATATTATCTTTTAAATTCACGTTTATCTGAAAAGTGTTTCAATCATCCCAGCTCTCCCAGGGGGTCTCAAACATAATATAAAACGAAGTTAATTTCTACATCAAAAAATATTATGAATCACATTGTAGAGTTACAACCAGGACTTACTCTTAGCTACCAAGTTCTCCACACCCTTTCCTTTTTCAGCCTTCATCATCAGTTGACCAATCGCCATCATCAGTTGGTCCTTCAGTTCACATTTGGACACAAGTCTCCCACCAGCCAGACTGCAGCCCAGCACTGCCAAGAGAAACACCTCAAGTACTCTCATCCTGACTCCAGATATCATCTCTGAAAACAGCCTGACATGATAAATATATATACTGTCTGCTGAGCCACCAATGGTGAATCAGAGAGACCTTCATCTTTTGTTCTCCTCAAATAAAGGCCGTTCCCTGTGCGTATAAAAACGGTTCTCGGTAAGTTGTGCCAAATCTCACACTTAGCTTTGGGTTTCTGTGCTCTGAATGAGTCATGGAGAAAAATTATCCATCTCCATTATCCATCCATAGTCTGGTTTTAGTCTCATGGTCTTCTCTGCAGGACGAAGGCGTAACTTGTACATCTGAAAACATGTTTTCAGGTAGATGGATAATTTTTCTCCATGACCCATTTAGAGCATAGAAACCCAAAGCTAAGCTTGAGATTTGGCAGAACTTCCCGAGAGGTGAAACAGTTCCTTCTCATGATTACATGAATAATTTCAGAGCATTGGGTGTCAGTGCTGGCAGTGTGGCAGCAGTGAATACAGAGTGTGCGTTAAAAATGAGGCCAGGACAGCTATCATGTTAAGCCCAACAAAAGAAAGAACAATACAGAGAGCAGCAATTTTTTATATTAAACTTGTAATAAAGTCCCCACCCATCTGGTGCTCCAGGCTGATAAATCAAACATGTATAGGACAGATGTGATTGAAAGTAACAGAAGGCACCATTTTGTAAGAGGATACATGTACAACTGGAAGTTAATATGGGAATGAAGGAAGTTTTATAAAATATGTTTATATTCTACAAACACAGGGGTTTTTATCTGAACCCTTGACTTTGCCTTGTCCAACAGGTTCTCTCTCATTATATTGTTGTTAATATTGATACTTTTATTATTACTTTATTACCACTAATATTCCTACTACTACCTATTGTGTTTCAAGAATCTTAGCACGACTTCCCTGGATTGTTTACAAGGGATCTGTTGCAAAGCTTTTGATCGGGTCATCAAAAAGGTCTCATGTAACTGTGATCTGATTTTCTTTAAACTGGCTTCCCACCAAATTCAAAATCTATTGCCAAGTTTTTGTGATCACTCCTGCATGTTTTGCATGATCAGGCACCAGCAGTGGTGGATTGTATCAGATTGTGAACCAAATCCATCATCATCATCAACAGTGTGAGCAGCTCAAGTCACATGGAATCCAATTTTTTCCAGTTCAGATTTGGGCCACTTTCATATGTGGTCCAAATCCGATACAGGTCGTAATTTTTGAAATGCAACCTCAGTCTGGTCAGATCGGAGTTCATGCAACTCTGACGTCACTTTAGAGCAGCAATTCTGCGCTAGGCTCCACAAAAGCCATTATTAAACATTTGGTTCTTTTTCTCCTCTACCTTGCTATCATCTGCTCTCTACTTCCCTTTCTTCTACCTCAAATCCACTGGGTCGCGAGCTCTCTTCTAAGTCACGTAGGCCTATTCTACTTATGTATGTCATGGAAAGGACAGAAATTTGTGAACATTTGTCATAAATAGGGAGAAATGTGATCTCCGGAGGAAACCAGGAAAGGGTAATGAAATACTGGAGTCGTCCGTGAAAATCGTGAGGGTTAGAAGTATGAGCTAACTGGAACTAATCTTTGTGGCTTTTTGTTTACATCTGTACAACAGCGTGCTGCGTGTGACCTCCTTTTATTCGTCTGCGCATGCGGGTCAGTTTCAGGCTGTGGACAATTCATACTTCAGTCTGATATGGCCCGCATTTAAACTATAATGTGAACTGTCAAACAAAAAAAATCAGATGTGGGAAAAAATTGGAATTGAGCATTCAGGCCTGCAGTGTGAACATAGCCTTCTAGCCTTTGATGTATGTTGCTTAGCAGCTGTCATGCATTATGTACCAGCAGCCTGGTGGAACTACTTTCTGTATTCATAAAGAAATGTCTATTGATGAAATAAAACAAAAAGAAATTGTAGTGTGTCAAAGCACTAGCTCACGACAGGCTGTAGTATGCGCTTATTACATCACAGTTAAGGGGTGTTGAAGCGTATGGCATAAAACATGTGGTTAACATTGTGAAACAGTTGTAGTTTGGTTATGTTTAGGCAACAAAACTACTTGATTAGTTTTAGGAAAAGATTATGGCTTGGGTTAAAATAAGTTTAGATAAGTTACAGAAAAGCTTGTTGGTAAAGTCATGGCTACTTAAATTCTAATATTGAACATCTAGCATGTCACTAAGGAGAGACACTGCTCTTCTTTAAGTTCAGGTTCAACAGGTTAGAGAAGGAAGGCTTGTTAGTGGGAATTTTCCTTTTTTTTAAAAAAAACGTTGTCACATTAGGAAATGTGAAGAACTTCTTAAGGCAAGGCAAGTTTATTTGTACAGCACATTTCAACAACAAGGCAATTCAAAGTGCTTTACATAAAAAAAATTTACATTATTATTGCTATGGCAACTGGCAGCACATGTAGATGCACCAGCCGGTAGCTCCTTTAAACGTCGCAACACTTTTGTTTTTCTTTTTTTTTTTCCACGGCTTTATTGCCGAAACACGTTACCTATGACAGAAATATTTATTAATTTAAAAAGGAAGACAGGGTTTTGGATTAAAGACCAGCAAACCTTGAGCCACCACTCAGATCAAGTGGACCAGGTACCATGGCGTGGTGTCGCTCAGAGAGGGAAAGAGAGCCGGGATATAGGCCACGTTGGCACAGCTTGGACTTACGGCTGCTACTGAAGGTCCGGTCTGGACAAAATGGGACTCATGTTGCCCAAGCAACAGAAATTAGAGACTGCCCACATCTTTACAGAGACCTGCCCTATCAACATCCAGGATGAAGCACTCGGCAGGTGCAAGACTCTAGCATGATGAGAAGAGGCGGACTCTGTGTTTTCATGTTTGGTCCTCATACTCGAACGCTGTTTCCCAGACGTCAGACTTTCAACGTGATGAAAACCATTTTATCATCATGTTGCTGCTGTTTACATTCTCACACAAATGCAAAAAATGCATTGTGGAATATTCATGGATATTTCCTGGTGGATAATTGAGCAAATAAAAGAATTACAGCAACAGTTCTCTTTCAGAATTTATTTAAGGAGAAAATAGCAAGGAAGTACTCAAACAATCAACAGCTGGTCCAGAGACCTGCTGCCCAGGGCAGCTTCAAGCGTCTGGCCCAGAGCAAAGGGAAGCATAATCATTTAGACAGTCCGGGTTTCTATGTTCTGGGGAACAGAATAACGGCAAAACAATAAAACAATCTCAAAGCTGTCACCTAAACCCTCCATATGTGGACAGACTAATACAATGAGTATAATAATAAGAACATGTAATGGATAAAACATAATAATAGAAGTACATGCATGAGAGATTAAATGTAAGGAGAAACAAGTTCTGTGTGTGTAGCATGAAGGGACTACAAACTTTCTTTACGTTTTATAAACTTTTGTTGTTTCCAAAACAACACATTAAATTACTTTGTACCTTGTAAGAAGGGGTGGGAGTTTTCTTCAGCTGAAGGGAGGGTAGTCTGACATCTTTGTGAGAGTCTTTTTGTAATCCCAGATTTAGCCCTCCACATTAGGGCTTTCTCACCAAAATCAGCAGCCTGTTTTCATTTTGTGGCTGTAACAACCGGTAAATAGCTCTTTATTCAAAATTACATAGTAGCTGTATTTTCACCATTTTGTCACATTTTGTAATAAATAAAATCATTTTTTATTAGAAGGATGGTGTTGGCAGGAAGACGGGAAGATCAAAAAACAATAATAAATATACAGTGAAATGTCGGATTCAGCCCCACCTATTTAGGGTCTCTTACATTTGTTAAATATAGGACTCTTGACTTGTTGGTAGTGTGCTGGTGACTCAAATCATACAACCTAATAACAAAATAATGGAATTCATTATTGCTGCTGAAGCAATAATAACACATAATATTTATAGAACCAATCTTTCGACCATTTTCATTGTTTCTGTGGAAATTCCTTCATCGGTCTTGTGCCCAATGCTATGTGGCAGGCTTAATTTTTGGTTTATAGATATCACATAAACAGAGCCAGAGCAACATGCTTCACTTTATTATTGCCATAAATCACTGGCCACTCATTTGGGAGGTAGTGAATCCTTCCAGTGATAGCTTTGGCACTAAATGTATTTAGGTTAAGAGCATTCAGCAAAGTACTCAGAGGGATTCTGATTACTGCACTGTTGCTGGTAGATGATCTTGATGCTGCAAATGAACAGAAGAGATCAACATTACTTAAGGTATGCAAATGTTTTTGTTGGGTAAACTGTATTGATAACATGATTAAATGGTAATGGTTGTAATTTATTAATTGTTGCATTTTAAAAGGCAGACAACTAAAAGCAGTAGATCAAACTTAAAAAAGATGAAGCTAATAACTTAACTTAAATGACTTTTGCACTGTGGAAATATTCAGATAGAAAAGTTCATAGCATTCGGGTTTAGTTCCTATTTTAAATAACATAGAGCAAAGACAGTGGTGGCCCAAAGGTAAGAGAAGCGAGCTTGTGACCAGGTTGTTAATGTGTAATGGTGTGCAGGGGCAAATGAGAGGTTGCTCTCAGTGAAGCTACCTGAATAAATAAAGGTTAGAGAGACTTCATTTGACAAATGTTGGAACTGTCAAGTGAGGTGAGGATCCAAAACATGGCAACATTTCAGAATTCAACAAGTAGATATTCCAAAAGACACCAGGGAACACAGGGAAGAAGGCTGACTGCTAAACATAAACTAAGTAGTTGTGGTTGAAAATGAAAGGAACAGACCAACAAAATCCACCAGAGGGGTAGAGGTAACAAGAGACATGTGAAACATATTGGGCAATTAGGGAGCAGTCAGACAGGAAGCCAAACAAGACAATAGCTGTGTTTCCATCTAATTGTCAAGCAAATTTTAAGCTAACTCATTCTTCCTCTCTCCTCGGGAAGTGAATGATTCCAGGTATGGCATAACTGATTAAAAATGTATGTATAACTGAGGTCATTTTACAATAAAGTAAACCATCAGCTGTAAATGAGGCAACTGAGGTTATTAAAAGTAAAGAAATTCAACATAAATCAACAAACAATTTTAAAAGTAAGTTTCTGTGCAGGTTGTCTGATATTTGATGCACCTTGTGAGTCCACTGTGAAGATATTTAAAAATGAACTTACATCAGCTGTTTGAAGATCATCATCACACAGCTGATGTCATCACTTATGTTGTCATCAATCAAGTCTGGAAAGAAATCAAGTTTTCCGGTTTAAGGTTGAGATGTAAATTGAGAAAGTGAAAAATGGAGAGAGAGCTGTAGTTCCTGTTAATTGTCTTAGCTGTCACATAAAAACACTCCACACACATAATAGGTAAATAGGCTACTAGCAAGGTGCATCTGGGACTTTAGGCTGTTTGAGCAAATAATTCCAGGCAAAAATTGACTATGCATTCAGTCTGCTCACATCTTTACAGTGACAATAATGATGACATGATCAAAAAAGATCTGACTGAGATTGAAACTCACTGTTGCAGTCCATCCCACAGATGTTGGGTGATGGAGTCGTGCCATTGCTGCAGACCAGGTGACTGCTGAGCTGGAAAAGACCATAGAGTGCCCAGACCTTCTCGTCCAGGTGTGGAGGGTGGGTGGATGGTGTAGGACCAGTGTTGTTGGATGGAAGCTGCCTGACACCCCGTCGCTGCCTGGGACGGATTGTAGTTGAAGAGTTTCCAGGCTGGGCCTGGTCTGTAGGGTCGGTGGATGTGTTGGGATGAGTGGATGTGTTGGGGTGAGTGGATGTGTTGGGATGACTGGATGTGTTGGGGTGAGTGGATGTGTTGGGATGACTGGATGTGTTGGAATGAGTGGATGTGTTGGGATGAGTGGATGTGTTGGAATGAGTGGATGTGTTGGGATGAGTGGATGTGTTGGGGTGAGTGGATGTGTTGGAATGAGTGGATGTGTTGGAATGAGTGGATGTGTTGGGGTGAGTGGATGTGTTGGGATGAGTGGATGTGTTGGAATGAATGGATGTGTTGGAATGAGTGGATGTGTTGGGGTGAGTGGATGTGTTGGGATGAGTGGATGTGTTGGAATGAATGGATGTGTTGGAATGAGTGGATGTGTTGGGAAGAGTGGATGTGTTGGGACGAGGGGATGTTTTGGGACGAGTGGATGTGTTGGGACGAGTGGATGTGTTGGGACGAGGGGATGTGTTGGGAAGAGTGGATGTGTTGGGATGAGTGGATGTGTTGGAATGAATGGATGTGTTGGAATGAGTGGATATGTTGTGGTGAGTGGATGTGTTGGGAAGAGTGGATGTGTTGGGAAGAGTGGATGTGTTGGGACGAGGGGATGTTTTGGGACGAGTGGATGTGTTGGGACGAGTGGATGTGTTGGGACGAGTGGATGTGTTGGGACGAGGGGATGTGTTGGGATGAGTGGATGTGTTGGAATGAATGGATGTGTTGTGGTGAGTGGATGTGTTGGGAAGAGTGGATGTGTTGGGAAGAGTGGATGTGTTGGAATGAGTGGATGTGTTGGAATGAGTGGATGTGTTGGGACGAGTGGATGTGTTGGGACGAGGGGATGTGTTGGGAAGAGTGGATGTGTTGGGATGAGTGGATGTGTTGGAATGAATGGATGTGTTGTGGTGAGTGGATGTGTTGGGACGAGGGGATGTGTTGGGGTGAGTGGATGTGTTGGGATGAGTGGATGTGTTGGAATGAATGGATGTGTTGGAATGAGTGGATGTGTTGTGGTGAGTGGATGTGTTGGGAAGAGTGGATGTGTTGGGACGAGGGGATGTTTTGGGACGAGTGGATGTGTTGGGACGAGTGGATGTGTTGGGACGAGGGGATGTGTTGGGAAGAGTGGATGTGTTGTGGTGAGTGGATGTGTTGGGAAGAGTGGATGTGTTGGGACGAGGGGATGTTTTGGGACGAGGGGATGTGTTGGGACGAGGGGATGTGTTGGGACGAGTGGATGTGTTGGGACGAGTGGATGTGTTGGGACGAGGGGATGCTTTGGGATTAATGGACGTTTTAGGATGAGTGGATGGTGTAGGCTTGTTGACGGCCCGTCGCTGCCTGTCGTTCTGCCATATTGGGATTAAAGGGTCCTCAGGCTCATCCAGGCGGGTTGGTGGTGTAGGCCAGGTTGTCGTTGGAGGCTCCCCGGAGAGGGGCCATATTGTGATCTCCCTACTGTTTTGGTCTTCCATCCTGGGAAACTCTGACACCAGCTCCATGTGACAGACAACTGAAGGCAGGGAAGGCAGACTGAATATTCATGGTCCTCATAGGATGAATCCTAATGATTTTATGCCCCCTAATCTCTCCTCTAGCACCACCATCAGCTCAAAACCTCAACTTGTATGCAGGAAATATCAAAATCTAACAGGTAGATTGCCAGAAAGTGAATCAACCCCAGAGGATGAACCCAACTAATAATATAAAGAGTATGGTTTAGACTTGCTCTATATAAAAAGTGCATTGAGATAACTTATATAAGTAAAATTTAATTGAAGTGAATGCATTTTGGGCATGATGAGCTTTATTCCAGCGGCACCCTCACCATTTAATCTTTACCAATCATAACCTTTTAAAGGATCTGTATTAACTGATCCTACTGTACTATAAAACTTATTTGTGTGTATTCAAAGCCTGATGTATCTTATTCCTTTGTGCCATTAAGATCCATTGTTGTCTAAAATTGAGTCTGAAGCCACGCTAGCTTTATGAGGCCATACTAGTTTTGCAGGTTCTTTATCTGATCATAAACCAAAGTATTGGACAACATTTAAACATTTGACCTGCTGGCGGTGCTAAATTAAACATTATTCTTTCTGTAGGGAACATGGATTTTTGTACCAAATTTCAATGCAATACGTCACCTAAAATAGATCCACAAATGTCAACATCATCATGGTGGTAGGGGAAAAGTAAGGGGATCCCTGAAGGTATTATGATTCATTCTCTAGGGACAAAATTTCTTGGCCATCTATTCAATAGTTGTTTAGATATTCCTGTCTGGATCATAATTGTGGACCAACTGACCAATAATGTCATCCAAAAAGCCATGCCGCTAGGTGACGTGTTATTACCGGGAACCAGCCACTCTAGTTTATTTTGAGTCAATACCACATGTAATTTGATTATGTGACATACACATAAAAACTCGCCAGCCGTGTCCTTTAAGTCAGGAAATGAGAATATAATCTGTCTCATAGTATTATCAAATCATTCAATATTTTCAAACTGAAGCGCTGTTAAAGCCAAAAAATTTGTTTTGGACTTTTCTGATTTGGATTCATGCAAAGAATGTTTGGCTTCTGCACGTTATAAGACTGAAGGCAAATTTTCTCGAGTTGCTGGATGTGTATAGTGAAGCAGTACTGGTACAGAGTTAGAAATTGGCATTTAAAGTTTTACCATTTAAACTGAAAGAGAATGAAGAAAACATGCATATGTATAATATAGTCATACACATACTGCAGGTATATAAATACACTGAGAATTTCCACATCCATATATAAACAAATATACCTACTTATGTGCCTCCATACATACATACTGTAAGTGCATGTGAATAATAAACTATACAAAAAAAAATATTATTGCAAAAGAGAGGGGGAGGGGCATGGAATTGATCTTGTTGCATACATGTATGGTCAATTATGCCCTGAGATTATGAAAATCAATGGGATTCCCTGACTTTTAATCAAACACCACCAACAGGTAGACATTTTTGTCTGAAATGTCTCAACCACTGTTGGAAGAGTTTAAAAAAATCAATTTGTTGTTTGTCTATCAGTTTTTCCAAATTTGCATTTGGCCCTTTTTTCTTGCCTGTTTGCATGAACCAAATCTCTTATCTGTCTTCCTGCTCTGGATTCCCCTGACAGCAGAGTGACTCCTACAGTAATCTAGCATTTTTAAACTTACCTATTGCCAGGAGTCTTTCCTTGAATCTTTGAAGGATTCTGGGCAGGGTGATCGCTGCCTCAAGCTTGTCTTTCAGCTCGCATTTGGAGATGGTCTGGGCCTCGGATGGGCTGAGCACCAGAAGCGCCACAGTCACCACCGCCAACAGTCTCAACTTCATGTCAGCACCTTCTGTGGGATAAAATAGGAAACTTAAAACCTACCATAGGTATAAGGCGGACATTGACACAAAACCAATTGATTTCATTTGGACCCAATTTCCACTGAAAAATAGCAGGACATTTTAATGAGCAGGTTGTAACTAGTCTTTGTGCTTAAGCAGCTGTGCAGAGGACAGCTTTCAGCTCAGTTTACAATTAACTGGATTACAATTTCTGGAAATTGTGAAACAAGGGAAATGCACAGTGAACAAGTTGACTTATCTCACTCGATTAGCAAAACATTTTTTAAATTTTTTAATGAATTTAATTTGAAATCACTTGTGTTTTTACAGTTTAGAAGTATATTTGCAAAAACAGTTTGTTCATGTACTTGAAGGTATAAAAAAAAATACTAATTTGAATAAATTGGATTTTGTTGTTTTGGTTGCTCAATTGTTGAAAAACAAATTTTACACCTTTGTTCTAAAAAATCAATTTTAAATCTATTTAATTCAAAAGTGACCATGTACAGTTTTTAAACATAAATTATCAGGGTTTTGCGGTGGTTGTGTCTAGTTATCCTCACCTCACTTGCATATTTAAGTTGTGTATTCCTTTGCGTCATTGCCATTTTACTAGATTATAGCTGTAAGCTAATTCACATTTGTAGTCCAACAGTAGGTCAGAACAAAATGATTGCACAATAACATAGTACAAAGTTCTACACACAAAACATGCAATACACACAACAACACATCACAAATTTATGCTTGAAAACAAGTCATGAAGACCATGAGATAGAATTCAGTGAGTACACAACTGAGCAGCTTGTAACAGACTTTAAGTTGGTTTTGAAACCACTGATAGAGCTGCAGCTCTTTACATTGTCCGGCAGAGTTCCACTGATCTATGGCTTTTCAAGAAAAAGCAGGAAGAATAATGTTAATAAGAGAGACAAGGATCCTATACTAGGCCTACGAAGCAAGTTCAACACAAACCAGGATATCTTTTTGTTATATGACTTCAATAATCCTAACAATCCTAACAAACAAAAGTGGTAGGCCTAATAAGACTACGACGCTGGTTATCAACTCTTCTAAATCAACCCAGGGTTTCTCAATCCAGCCATTGACATAAAACTTAATAAAAGTTCACATAAAATGAGCAGCCATGCACAAATCTGGCTGAATCCCAATCTCCACACTCCACACTTCTGTAAGGGCTTTGGGCTGTCCCACTGTCAACCTCGCAGACGTTTTTGAGCCCTAATTTCACACTTCTGTGAGTCCACGTCTCTGCAGACTTTGCTTGAGAGAATTATTAATGGTTCATAGCGTTGTGATGTTAAACATTAGGTTACCAGGGAAAGCCAAAAAAAGGTAAACAAACAAGGCAGGAGCAAATACAAGGACAAAAATGTTTACATGTAAGTGTATCATGTTGTTTTGATAAAATCGAGTAAATTAATCATTTGAAAATGACCTCTTGTCCACTGGAAATGTATTTAATTTTTATTTAATCAAATAATCAATTTACTTAGCAAGAGCCTGGAATATGTTAAAATCAGACAGTCGGTCCTTTCAGTGCCTCGGCCGTTAAGTAAGTAAAAAAATTTTAAATAAAAAGTCCCAACCCCACAGTTGTTTTGGTGTAGCCAAGGTAATGGTATTCTAGTCCAACCTCGAAGTAAACCTCGCTACCGTCAAATCCTACTTTGTAGAACAGGCCCCAGTTGTCCTTTACTTATATCCAATATTAATACACAAATAAAGTAGCTACACGTTGTATATGAATACAAATACAATTTGTTCATTAATTCATCATTCTGGTGTTTTATTATCTCTAGTTCAGCTTCAAACAAAGTAAAAAAGTCAAAAAAAGTATTGAAATTAAATATCAAATTCCACTGTCATTTTTCATAAAATATAACAGCACAGACAAAAATAATAATAAGATAAAGACAAGTTTCTTACCACGTTCCTTCAACTACAGTATAAACCTTCTTTCCTGAGTTTTTGACAACAGTTTGCCTCTCTTTGTCTGCAGACAGATGTGTCTAAATGTATACATATCACAGTTTCAACTTGTTGACCAATCAGGTTTGACTAGTTTTCATAGCTTTCTTTACAATATTGAGGAAATGAAACAGGTACGTTTTCAAAGTTGTGGCTAAACAACACACACAGATTGCTTTGACGTGTAGCCTACATTTGGTTATCCATTCAAATTCTAGTCAAATAAGCCTGGAGGGGGATTTTTACACTAAACACCTTCCAATTACACCAGTAAACATCCAGGTAGCCAATAGGCTTACATAATAACAATTCTGTATGTCAGAGCCGCTCCTCATCTAAACAGGATGTTTTGGAACTTGAAACCATTTTCAAGTTCCAAACGGGTGTAGGTATAGACAGTGTAGCTGCACTGGGGCCCTTACTGTACAGGGGGCCAGCATGCATCATGTCTCATCAATAAACAGTAGAAACCTAGCACACCCAGCTGGTTATGTCCTTAGAAATCAATATCCTCAAATGTGCATTTCCCCCTATGCTGTGGTGTATGACACCATAGACTTTTGTAGTCTGTAGCCAGCAGTAGGATAAGATAAGCTATATGGTGAAATATCACAAAAATAGATTCAACACATTGAACAGAATGAATCTAATCGTATTTTCTTTGGTATTGGTGTCACATAGCCCGCATATGCAGTGATTATTGCTGGGTAATATGTAAATGGCTGCCCAATCTTAAGTTTCTGCAGGTGCAAGCTAGCAGTCATGTTATTCAAACATAAAAGTTGTTTCAAGTAGAGACAGGAGAGAAAAGAACAGGAGGAGAGGGTCACAAAGCTCCCAAATAAGATTGTTTTGGATTACTGAGGACATTGTCAAAGATTTGGCTCAATGCATGCTCGTCGGATGCCTTTCAAATAGGTGAGGAACTTTACAATTGCTTTTTCCGTGGATTTGGTGAGGCTGCCGTGCCGCTGTCTTAAAGGCTGTTATCATTTCGGGGACAGGTCGAGAGTGGAAGTGCTTGTGGGTATTAAACTGTGTGTGTGTGCCGTAGCTGGCCTGTTTTCAGGACATGACGTTGTTTATGAGTAGGACACTTTTCTTTCTTATTCAACACAATGTCTACCTCTCTGTCAGAGAGGAATGTGGTTGCCGTGATCGGGAGGGTATTGTACCCATCTGTGAGCCCATGGGAGTGTTGGTCTTCAAATGAGGTGAGGTCAGGCATATTGTTGGCACATTGCTATTGAGGCAGCAGAAAGCGATTGCACCATTGACCCAAAAAAACAGGTCTGAAGTCAATGGCACAGTATTTCACTGTTTTTGTTATTTTAGGGCAGCATTACAGTGACACTGTGCGTATTTACGTACGAGGCACAGCATCGTAAATTCACTGATCATTAAAATCTCCCTACACGCTGTCACGATCTGTCAGTATCAAATGTTAATTGATGTTCTTTGTTCTTTTAGACATCCAAAAGGTCTCACACACAGTCCAGGTTCATAAGGTGAAACTCTTTGGAGTAAAGCAGCAGTCCTCCTGATCTGTCCTCCATCAGAGCGTCTAAATAATTTCAGAAGCTAAAAGTTGAATTCTGTTTCCTCTGGAGAGTTTCCTCTGTCCTGTCATGTCAAGTTTAGAACTTAAGCTTTTTTCTGTTTTGCTGCTCATATACCCCACAATATTTGTTGTGACTTTATTGCGCACATGACATTTAAAATGACTGACAACAGCATCTCTAAGCATGAAAGTAAATCATTAAAGAATACACTCATACATCAATAAAACACAAAAGAAAGAATCCACTGTACGGGAGAGATGTGACCCACGACCGGTTATCATAGTTTATATTAGTATATAAGTTTATATATAGAGCGTCTGTCTCTTTACAGCCTGCAGTTCCGACTCTTCACTGATAAACTACAAAGCAGCAAAATAACACAGGCTTCATGATCAGAGATGTTTTTTATATCACATCCACACTTCTCTCCATATCCCGTCTCTGCTGTGAGTCTGCAGTTCAGTCAGTCAATTGGTGTTTTGCATAATGCGTCATTCATACGCTATTATAATAGCAATGCACACCTGGCTTTAAAAGGGAAATTACACTGATTGGTGTAGGCTATTGCATGTTATGCCCTACACACCCATGACTAATTCACAGACTATGTACAACCCTTTTGAACCATGCACAGACCATTTTTGGGTTCTCCATCATGATAATACGCACGCTCACAGACAGTAGTCTAATGCGCTTGCTATGGTAATACGATACTGATACACCATATCAGGTGTGGTGAATCTTTAAACACTGCAGAATTAACTCAGTGGAGTTCTGTTCTCTCAAGTGGCTCCAGGTGATCACAGCAGAGGGAGGTGCAGTGCGACACCTGCTGGTCATTTTCTGTAAATCCTTTTGGTGTGCTTGCTGTTGGTTCGATGCCATCGATCTTTATAATATTGAGAACACTTTACTGTCCACAGTATTTACTAAAATAAGCCTTAATCTGTGAGGTTAGACTAATTAACAGAAACACCTTTGTTTTATTAATTACGGCTTAACAACACCACAAACTAGGCTACATGCTCCAAACTGAGTTGAATCGCCACCTCTCATAAACTGTTAATCTCTTAATCATGAAGGGGGATATATTGCATTATGTAATTAGTTTTCGATAATAAACTGTCAACTAAGTGTATATTTTTATTATTGTTTTTGTGTAGACATTGCATCGTCTTAAGGCAAAGAGGGAGAGCCACAGCAGGACTGGAAATTCTTTGGTAGAACCTTCATTTTGAAGAGTAGCCTGAAGCACAGAGCACACTGTCCAATCAGAAGCAGGGGGTTGATGAAGTCCCACCCACCAATAAAAGGAAGTATTGAGTAATAAATTTGTTCTGTCACTAAGAAAGGAAAACAAGACATTGTGCTGAATTTGTTTTTTGGTTTTGAGTAAAAAAACAAAAAAACAAAAAACCAATGGAAAAACGACCTGTTTCTGGTTTTTGCCTTTGTTAATTATACCAAAAACAAACGGGTAAAACGTACCTTGACCCTGCTGACTCAACCATACAGCCTAATAATTTAGTTTAATGTGCTGTTAAGGCACTAATAAAACATTTACTTAGAGAACCATTTAGTCTTTCGATTATTGACATGCACATTTTGTGTAAAATCACCGACATTTTTTTCAACAATGCCGTAGGGCAGACTTATTTTTTTGGATTATAGACACAAAAACACAACAAGTGCAACATGCTTCACTTTATTATTGTTATAAATCACTGGCCACTCATTTCAGAGGCCGATGATCCTTCCACTGATACTTATGGCACAGTATTTAAGTTAAGCGCATTCAGCAAAGTATTTAGAAGCATCCAGATTACTGCACTCTTGCTGGAAGATGAGCCTGATCCTGCAAATAAACAGAAGAGATCAACATTCTTTGAGTTGTTTTTTGTAAGGTAACTGACTGTATTGATTTCATGATTAAATGGTAATGAAGTCATCATTTAATGCATTTAAAAGGCGGATTACAAAAAGCAGTGCATCCAACTTAAAGACTACAAACAGTTGAAGATAATAACTTACATTTTGCTCAACTCCTTCCAGTGGGGCGCCCCAAAACCTTTTTCACTGTGGAAATTTTCAGAAAAACATATTCAAAGCATTAGGGTTTAGTTCCTATTTCATTCGCATAGGGCAAACAAACCTTTTAGTCTGACTGACTTCAGGCCATAACCCAACCCAACATCACAGACATCAGCTATAAAAGACAAAACACGGGGTACTTTGGCACCCGAATGATTTGTTGGTGTCATATAACAGCAATGTCCCCGTTCCAGCAGATGACCTTTGTAGCATACCATATCTCTCTCCTCGTACTGTCTGACTCTGTACAAAATGACATGAAAAACTCATTGCTTTTCAGCCTGGTGGGCTTGTCATGATGAATCCTTAAATTCCCCCTCCACTAGAAAATGTGGTTTTCTTAATGTTCCTTGGACATGGATATTTGACCTGCAGTAGTTAGATCCTTTACAAAAATGAAAATTTCCCCAACTTCAAGTAAAAGTCCTGTGTCCAAACCTTAAGTACGTCAGCAAAATGTAAGTAAACTTTTGAAGGTAAAATTACTTATTGTGCAGTAAAATGGTCCCTTTCTGTGTTATACTAATATATCTGATGTTTCTGGATTAAAATTGCTGCTGCATTAAAGTGTATGTTGCAGTTTAGTGATGTAGAGGTTTATGGTTGATCTCTCTACAAAATGAGCATTGCTGACCTGTAAGAAACACTAAAAATCTAACACCCTCCTCCTCCCCCTCTCCCCAGTAAGTGAATCAATACAGCCAAGGTAAAACTTGTACATTACAAACTTTATGTAAAACTGTAAAATTTAACACTTATGTCATGAAAAACTATATAAAAATGAAGGTCATTGTACAATAACATCAAATTAAATGAACAAACGTGTATTCAACAATGTTCACCAAACATTTAAAATGAGTTGCTGCACAGGTTTTCTGACGTTTGATGCATGTAATGTAGGAATTTAAAAATTAACTTACATAAGCTCGTTGATTATCATCGTCACGCACCTAATGTCATCACTTATGTCGTCATCAATCAAGTCTGGAAAGAAAACAAGTTTCCTGGTTTAAGTGAAAATGCAAGTTGTGAATGTCAAAAATGGACGCTTTACCGAGGATAGAAGAAGAAAAGGAGAGTGAACTGTTCCCATTAATTGAGTTGTCACATAAAATCACTCCACACACAAGCACACAAGATTGGTGGATAGGTTGATAACAAGGTACAGCTAATGTCTGTAGAGTCATTACATTGGCTGTTTGGGGTGAATAAACTGTCTGCACAAACCTGTACAGTGATAATAATGAAGACGTGTAGATATAAGACCAAACTGAGATTGAAACTCACTGTTGCAGTCCATCCCACAGATATTGGGTGATGGAGTCATGCCGTTGCTGCAGACCAGGTGACTGCTGAGCTGGAAAAGACCGTAGAGGTTCGAGACCTGCTTGACCAGCTGTGGAGGGCGGGTGGATGGTGTAGGCCAGGTGTTTGATGGAGGATGCGTGACAT